GCCCTGCCCCAGCCCCAGACCCCGCACCTGGAGGTGGAGAGGGGCTCCCGAGGTGCGGCCGCCCCGCCCCGCCGTGCTCCCTGGCCCGCCCTCCCTGACGCTGGAAGGCTGCTGGTGCCCCCAGACCCGTGAAAACGAAATTGAACCAGTGTGGAGGAGAGCAAGGGGGGGGGTGAGGGGGTTCATGGAGGGGTGGCTGGCTGGCCCTCACTGGGCTCCCGCCCTGCCCCAGCCCCAGACCCCGCACCTGGAGGAGGACTTGAAGGAGGTGCTGCGCTCGGAGGCCGGCATCGAGCTGGGCATCGAGGACGACGCGCGGCCCGAGAAGCAGAAGAGGAAGACGGGGGTGAGCGGTGTGGGGCGGGGGTGGGGCTGGGCCTGCGGGAGGCCTGTGCAGGGACTGGCTTGCCCCTTGAGCTGGTGCCTTGGTCATTGAGCCTCGGTCGCCTGGGAAGTGGGCCCTGGCCAGCCCGTGTAAAGCCCAGAGAGCAGCTCCCCTCGGTGGAGAGAGGAGCCAGACCCCGGCCGCCGTGACTCCACGCTGATGCCCTCGGCCCCTCGGGGGGCTAGAGGGAGTGAGCCAGGCGGGGCAGGGGCTGCTCCCCGGTGAAGGGCTGGCCGGGGCCCCGGGGCGCACGGGGTCTGTGCCTGCTGTTCTGCCTGTGGCTTCCCCCAGGTGATCAGCAGTGTGCCGGGATGGTGGGCGGAGCTGGGGGCAGGTGGACAGGGAGGTGCCCATGGCGCTGGGCCCTTAGGGTGGAGGCGTCAGGGGCTTGGCCGTCCAAGTCGGACGCTGGCTCGGTGCTGTGGCTTCACTCCTGGGGCTCACTGCTGGGTTGGGGGCGGTGAGGGCAAGTCCCAGGGCCCTCTTGTGTCAGTGCCCGCCCAGCCTCCATGCAGGGGAGGGGGGGACCCCTGCTCTGGCGGTGGTAGAAGGCCTGTGCCTGCTTGTCTGCAGATGAGCGTCCCAGGCGTGGGGACCCCTGGAGGCGTCTCTGCTGCACTGTGTTGGAAGCGGCTGAAGGCTCGGGGCTGCGCGTGGTTTTTCGGGGACAGGAGCGTCTCTGGCCACGCCGCAGCATCGGGCAACACAGCCCACCCGGCCAGCGGGCGGGGGCCGGGTCTCGGTCCTCGGGCTCCACTCGCTGCTGCTGGCCCGTCGTGGCCCCCTAAACGCCTCCGTTCCCTCCCCTCCCCTCCCCTCCCCAGCTGCGCCGGAGCCCCATCAAGAAAGTCCGCAAGTCTCTGGCTCTTGACGTCGTGGATGAGGACGGGAAGCTGATGATGTCCACGCTGCCCAAGGCGCTGTCCTTGGTGAGGGCCCGAGAGAAGCCCCCGCCCCCAGGGCCTTTGTTTCTGTGGAGTGGGCCCTGGAGGTGGAGGCCCGGTGGCTCCAGGAACCCACCCGGGTCCCCAGAAATGTTCTCCAAGAGCGGTGTTGCTGGGGGGTTTCGGATCTGGGTCCCCAGCGCCTTCCCTGGCGCTCTGCTCTTGGAGGTGACCCTGAGTCTGTCTCCGGCGTAGCCACAAGGTTGGGCCACATCAGCCCCAGCCCAGCCTGAGGAAGGGGGTGTTGCCTACACACCCGGGGTCCCCAGATAGCACACAGATGACCCCATGCAGCCAGCCGAGGGGTGAGCCCAGCGGGGTCACCAGACAGGATCGCCGACCAGGTCTTACTGGCGTGACGGCTGCAGCGTCCTCAGATCTTGCCGGGGAAGCCGGGGTCCCCACAGGCTGGGGGCTCTGGGCCCTGCCCCAGGCCTGTAGCTCGCACTGCGGCCAGCAGGAAGATGCTCAGTGAAAAGCAGAGCATTGGGCAGTGCCAGGGTTGGTTGAACCCTGACACCACGCTTGCTCTCCAGGGTCTGTGGGTGCTGAGTCCCCCAGGGTGTTGCCTGAGTAGAAACATCGGGCCAGTGGGCCGATGGGGCAAGCCCTGAGCAGAGCGGGAGCCTCGTGCACACTGGGGGTGCAGGTCTGCTCGGGGTTCCTGACCGCAGGAGCACTCAGGCCTGTGCCAGAGCGGGGAGGACCTGCTTTGTCGGGCGCTCAGCACCCAGCTCTAGGCCGGCCCGCGCACACACTTTTCTGATCTTTACATGGGCGTCTTGGGGAGGTCACTGCGCCCCAGTGTGAGCCTGTGGGCGGTATGACGTGGCTGTGGGTGTTTCTTACTCCCACTAAGCATGCGGCCCGACGGGAGACTGACTTGGTTTTGATTGCAGCAGGCCGGTATCCCCTCGAGCTCCTCCAGCCTTGCGCTCCCAGGCGGCAGGGACAACAGCCTCCTCAACCAGGGCTTCCTGCACGCCAAGCCTGAGAAGCCGGCAGTGGCCCAGAAGCCCCGAGGCCACTTTCCAGCCCCGGCCCCTGTGAGTGCTGGCCACAGTGTGGCGTCCCCCTCGGCAGCTAGCCCTGCCGGCCCCTCGCCTCGCCACCTTGGCACCGACCACTTCCACAGCCTGAAATACTTGGGCTTCCACTCTAGCCAGGGGCCACTTCTCAGGTGATGCCCCTCCTCACGCCCCTCGTGTATGGCACAGCGCACGTGTGTGGTCATTTGCTCCCCTTCGTGGCTGAGCACTGTCGTCGCGTGGGACTGGGGGTGTTGGAGGTGGCTGTGTCGCCCGGTGCAGCCTCCTGCCTTACAGTTCTGAGAGCCCAGAGACGGGGTGACCCCCTAAGGCCACCATGCGGCCGGAGTGAGCCAGGCGCATTTTGGGCCTGTGGAGGGAGGGTCCTAGGAGCGCACCCAGCCCTTCCAGGCGGGCTCTCCGGGAACATGCTGTCCTGCCTGGGCGGTGACCCTCTTGCCTCCTGCCAGATGACCAGCGCCTGGAAGACGGTGGCCTGCGGGGGCACCAGGGACCAGCTCTTCATGCAGGAGAAGGCACGGCAGCTCCTGGGCCGCCCGAAGCCCAGCCACACGTCTCGGACCCTCATCTTGTCTTGAGGCACCTGGCGCCATGAGCCCGTTCTCATGTTTACAGGGGCTGGGCATGGCGGGTTCCGGAATTTGAGAGCCACACTCAGTGGCTGCCTGCAGGGACCCTCTGCTGCCAGTCCCTCCACACTGCCCGCGTGAGGACAGGCGCCTCTGTCCTGCAGGCGGTGAGCGGTTCCTGGTTCTGGCAGCAACGCCCCAGGCCTGCCGTCCTCTCCCCGGTTTGCGTGGGGCACCTTCAGCCCTGCTGAGCCGGGCTGGGCGGGCCCAGCCTCACCTCAGGCCCCCCGCTCAGGCAGGGGGCCACCTGCACCTCCTTCCCTCAGCTGTTGGCTCATGTGCTTGAATAAAGCTGCCTTTCACTGTGGCTCTAGCTCCACCTTCCCCCCGGCCGGCTGCGCTTCCTGCTGATGCCGCCAGCCCACGTGTGGACCCAGGTGCTCATCACGCGGCCTGGCCCCTTTCCCTCCCTGGCCCTTGTGTGGGACGGCTCCTCTGCGCCCAGTGGTTGACTGGCCTCAGGTTCTGAGGACCCTGGCCTTAGGGTGGGGACAGTGGTGTGTCCAGGCCTTACTTGGCCCTTGCCATGGGGCTGGCCAGCCTGTGATGAAGCCCACCGGACCGCCAGCGCTCGGGTCTGCTGTGCTCTTGCAGCCTGGCAAGAGGGTGGGGCTGGCCCTGCTGGGCCCCTGTGGGGCTGGCGGGGCTGGGGAGCCCCTGAGTACTGCGGAGCAGGTGGCCAGGGCTAGTCAGAGCCCGGCTTGGGGAGTGATGGTGTGGGAAGGGCGCGGCTCCGGGCCTGCCCTGGCCAGCTGGGGACCTGGAGAGTCGGACTCATGCCGCAGGGGCTGGCTCCATAGGGCTGTCGCTAGCCCCTGCGCCACCAGGGAGGCGCCCTCTTGGCCTTTATTCCGGGCAGAATTCAGTGGCAGGGCAGGACAGATGGAGTCCACGCCGAGAGCATCGCTGTGCCCCCCCAGTCTCGGCCATGTCCTCTGTTTCCATGGGTGGTCCCTTCTTTTTGGCCTGGCTTACTTATATTAACGGCCTCCAGTTTCCTTGCGTGGTGTCGCAAGGCAGGAGGATAAGATTCAAAACTGTGTGTGCAGATCCCTCTTGGACACCTTGCTTTCAGCATTTTGGAAGTGGGGTTGGTGGGCCGTGATAATCCTATTTTTTGTTTATGTTTCAATCAGGTTTTTGGTCTTTTCAGGAAACATTGTGCGCTGGGCTAGGTGAGCCTTTGCAACGATGGCGTGGCTCTGTCGCCCCCTAGTGGCGCTGGGTGTATTTGTGGCAGCAAGTCGAGCGGGCCAGTGTCAGGGTCTTGGAAGGCCCTTTGGGCAGTTTTGATTTCTGGTTCCCTCGAGCTGCCTCTTCAAGCAGTGTGGCCTTTCCTTGAACACCTCCGCTCATGCGGAGAGGTAACCGATACTCAGCTCCACTGCTAGACAGCTGTTGTGAAGAAAATGCTTCTCCATTTAGAGAAAAAATTCTCTAGATGTGTAATATTGAAAATAACAGGAACGATGGGGAGGCGTTGGAACCCGGTCACTCTGGCTTGGGTTTGGACTTGGCCATGGTGGTGAAGCACTGAGTCTGGCGAGTCCCTGTTCTAGATATGCCCAGAAATGACTGCGGCTCTGACTTAGTAATGACAGTGATTTAACCCCCAGTGAGATGCATTTTATGTTTGCATCTTTGCTCAGATGTAGTGGAAAGAAATTAAAGCTAAGTTTTGCTAGGAGCTGAGAAATAAACTCCACCCTTGTACCTGGGGGGCCCCACTGCGCCATGTAGCGGACTGGGTGACGAGGACAGGTGCAGGCCCCGAGTCTCCAGTGCCCGTCTGGAGGGGGCAGATGGAAGGGTGCTGTCTGAGGAAAGCCTCTGCACCCCGTCCAGAGAGCAGCCCGAACGTGTACAGCAGGTGCTCAGTAAATACCTGTGCTCGCCATAAATCGTGCACTGGCGGAGAGAGGGCTCCAGGGTGGCTGGGACCAGAGCAGGGGCGCTGTTGCCCTTCGTGTTGATGCCGAGCTTAAATCAGGTCGGGAACACAGTCTGTGCTTTGAAACTTCGGTCTTTGTTGAGACGCACCTTACGGTCAAGCACTTGGTCCACTTTGCTAGTGTTGCTCCGTGTCTGAAAAGGATGTGCGGTCTGCAGGCATGGAGGAGGGAAGTCAGAGTCCGTCTTTGAGATATGGCACTCCTGCTGTCCAAGTAGCCAATGTCCTGTTTTTTTTTTTTAAGGTTTATTTACTTACACATACAGAACTGAGGTACCAGCCAGAGGTGTGAGGGTTTAGAGGATTCACCAGAGACAGAGCTGGGAGCAGAACAAGCAGATGGGCGAAGTACACTGCTGAGGGCAGCAGCGGGTGGGTCAGGAGAGGTCTGGGGCGCCCTGTGAGTCACCTCCAGGGCAGAGATCGAGCTGCAGTGGCTGTGACAGCTTCATAGTGCTGTGCTTTAACCCTTTGCGCCACCAGGAGGGCCCCCTCTGCTGCTTTTTGTTGCCCTAGACTGTACAACCGCCAGATGACACTGATACTAACTTTTGAAGCCACTGAATGTTGGGGAGGGCTTTACTCAGGAGTTTGCGCCAGTAATGTACAAGGCGAACATGTATTCACTCAGAAATCCCGAGGACACTGAACAATGCAATCTGGGCTCAATAAAGGGGAAGGAGGGGCATAGAAACTGGTGTTCCCAGACACCGCTGGAAATGAGAGGGTAAAAGATCCAGAGTCGAGCCTTGGTGCCAGTGCTGTGGTTTGATTCTTCCCCAGGGCTCTGACAGCCGTGGAGAAAGCCCAGACCCGTCACATGGACGTGGGTGTGAGCCCCAGCTTGACTGCCACTAGCTGTGCCTCCTGCCATGACCCTTGGGGGACTTGGTTACCAAACGAGAGGATCGTTCATCTCTCAGAGTCACTGTAGGAATGAGAACACAGTTGGGGTCTCAGGCAAGATGGGCTCTTGTCACATCAATCCAGAGTGTTTCTCCCTCCTCTCTTAGATGCATAATAAGCCCTGCACGGTGGTGTGGGTGGCCCTGTTGCAGTTGAGAGTTCTGATGGGAAGTTGCCATATAACAGCCCTGGGCTTAAAGGCTGGCCACCGAGTATATCCCATTCCCTGATAGTTGTCAGCCAGAGTAGCAGGGTGCAGCATTAAAAAAAAAGCATATGTGGGCCCTCCCTGGTGGCACAGTGGGTTAAAGCACAGCTTTAAGAAGCTAAAGCCACTTCCGCATGAGTTCAGTCTTTCCCGCTCTGGAGGTGACCACACGGCGCATCAGACCTCCTAGCCCGCCTGCTGCTCCCCTCAGCAGTGTACTTCATCAGTTGGCCTGTTCTGCTCCCCACTCTGTCTCTGGTGAATCCTCTCACCGCCCCTGCACCTCCAGCCTGTACTCCAGCTCTGTATGCACAAATAAATCTTTAAGAAAAGCAGATGTGTTTGGTGTAGGTTCTATTTTTAAAACCTTTTTATGAATGATCAACATATATTTAGGAAAGTGCATCAATCCTATGTGTGCTGGATGAAATTTCATAAAATGTTTATCTTTGGAGGTCACATGGGTCTCCTGGAGACTGCAAAATGTTGGGGTTTGTTTTCTGATCCACCTGTCTTTTGATTGGTCAATTCCTATACATTTAGGGGTCATTGACTATGAGGATGCACTACTGCCATTTTTGTTTTTAGTTCTCTGGGTCTGTTCAGATTTGTTTCGTGTGTGTATTTTCTACTCTCTGACATGAGTAGCAGGGCTTCTTTCAAGACTTCTTGTAGCAGAGCTGTGTGTTGGCAAACTCCTTGTGTATCTGGGAAGACCTTTATTTCTCCCTGGTACCTGAAGGATACCATATTCTCGGCTGGCAGTTTTTCAGTTGTTTTACTACATCATTCCGTTCTCTCCTTGCCAACAAAGTTTTCTCAGAGAAGTATGATATAACCTGATGGGGTTAGTTTTCCCGCCTCTTGTCATGTCAGTAGTTTTTGTCTTGAATTTTTGGTCTTGGTGTAGGTCTGACTACATTTAGATAACCCAGCTGTTTCTTACTGAATACACATGACTTGTGTATTCAGTTCCTTCACCAGCTTTGGGAAGTTTTCTTCTATTATTTCTTTGAGTAAGTTCTTTGTCTCCTCTTCTGTTTACCTTCTGGTATATCTATCATTCTTACTGCCTTTCCAAATAGTGATGGGTAGCTCTTGAAGTGTTCATTTTTTCCCCCTTTGTATTTCTCTTTCTTCTCCCTGGGTCTTTTGTGCTTTTTGCTTTCAAGGTCAGTGATTTGATCCTCCGTTCAGTCTAGTGTGCTTCCTTAGTACATTTTTTTTTCCTCCACTGATTTATTTTCTTACTTACACCTTCAATTTCTATTTTCTGTTCACTGTTTATCATGACATTAATATTTTTCTGAATTTTGCCTTACCTCTTTGATGTCGTTTTTCAGAATTCTCTTATGTCACTGACTTGCTTTTCTGCATTTTCTTCCATTTCTTTGAATTTATGTATCATGGAAATTTTGGTTTTGTGTTTTTTAAGATTTATTTATTTATACATCAAGAACTGAGGTACAGGTCAGTGGTGCGTGGAGTGAGAGGATTCACCAGAGACAGTGGGGAGCAGAACAGGCAGATCTACTGAAATACACTGCCGAGGGGAGCAGCAGGCGGGCAGGAGAGGTCTGCTGTGCCATGTGAGTCAGCCCTCTGGCCAGGGATTGAACTTGTGCTGTAGTAGCTATGTGTAGCTTCATAGTGCTATGCTTTAACCCATTGTGCCACGAGGTAGGGCCCTACATGGAAATTTTGAATTCTGGTAGGAAGGTAAAGTCTTCCTTATTTTTTGTGCTCAGGTTCTGGAGAGCTCTCTCCTTGTGTCATATTCCCTTGACAAGGTCGCAATTTGCCATGTAGTATGCTTGTATCCTCTTTGCTATTGGATCTTAGAGAGCTGAATTACTATCACCTTTCCAGCAGGTGGCACTGGTGATAATATGATTTTGGATGTTTGGCCTTTCTGAGCTTCTGTAGGTCTGTCTGAGACTTGATCTTGCAGCAGCTGAGTCTGGGTAGGGATGCTTAGAGGGAGGGGTCAAGCCTTTGGTGTGGATGCTGGGGGTGGGGACAGGCCCATGTTTGTAGCACTTTTTGGGGTTCTAAACCCAAATCTATTGTATCTGCCCATTCTCCGCCTCTTGAGGTCAATACTAGTCAATACTAGCACGGAAGTGTGGCCCAGTGCACTATCCTTATTTCTTTCACAGGGATCCTGGCCCATGGGGATCACCTAGCTCCTCTGCAGTATTTTTCCCAGTCAAGAATGTGTACCTACCCCACACCATTTGGCTCTCCCCTTTCTGGGGCTGCTGGTGGAGTGGCAGTGCTGGGTTTATATGGCAGCTCCCCACTGCCTGACCAGGGTCTCCAGGGGTCTTTTCACTTACCCCTTGTTCTCTGAACATAATCTCCATGTTCCTTTGGTCCTCACCAATTCTTTAGATTCCACCACTGTATTTTTATTTTATAGTCCAGGATCCCAGGAACCCAGACACACACCACACTGTAATATTTATACACATGCATACACACCTAAATTTACATGCATATTTTTAAAACTACTTTTATTATGGAAGATTTCAAATTTACATAAAAGTAGAGACAATAGTAAAATATTTCCATCAGTTTTAATGATCTAATCATTAAAATTTTAATCAGGCTACCACTTTGTTTCACTCTACTGCAAAGCAAAAAAACTCAAAGTTTTTCTTGGTCTTGTTGGCGTGAGTTGCAGATAAATGTTCTCTATACCACCTGCTTCCTATATGGCAATTCTAGTTCCTGCAATTTAGTAGTCATGGAGTTTCTAAGAATAATACTCAGAACTCTGCCCCACTCCAAGAGAAGTCTTTAATACTTTGTAGAAACAGTTCAATCAGGAGTGGCAACGTTATAACTACTTGAAAAACTTGAAAAATGTTTAAAAGAATTCTCTTGCTGTTTTAAAAAATTTTAACCTTTGGGCTGATAGTGCACACGTTCACATGTGGAAAGTACTAAAGGCCCCTCCTTCCCAGCCTGCACCCTCCAGTCATCTTCCCTGCAGGCAGCTAATATATGTCCTAGGAACAAGATCAGCAAACGTTTTCTGGAAGGGGCCAGAGAGCAGATAATTTAGGTTGTATGGGGAGACTTCTTGCATGTTTTTGAAGGGAAATTTTACTGAAATCGACATATATAGGCATGCCCTCTCCTGCCACTATAGGAAAATGGCGGCTTAATAAAGTAGTGTTTAGACTTGGCTTTTATCAGTGACATCAGGGGTGGGCAATCCAGTCTGTCACTGGTTTTCATAAATCATTTTATTCAAATCTGTTTCTTTGCCCTTACATTATCTGTGGCTGCATTCATGCTATAAAGAGCTGCATGGTTGCAGTGGAGACCATAACCTCCAGTCTAAAGTAGCTACTCTCTGGAATGGCACATATTAAAAAAACTAGCAACAGTAAGTGTTGGTGAGGATGTGGCGAAAGAGGAACTCTCTTACACTGCTGGTGGGAATGCAACCTGGTCCAGCCACTATGGAGATCTGTGTGGAGGGTCCTCAAACTAAAAATGGAGCTTCCGTATGACAACAATTCCACTCCTAGGAATCTGTCCCAAGGGCACAACAACATTAATTCAGAAGGACGCCTATGTTTATTGCAACACAACTTACAATAGGTAAACTATGGAAGAAACCCAGCCCAAAAAAGATGACTGGATCAAGAAGGTGTGGTTATTTACACAATGGGATATTACCTAGCACTCAAGGACAAACTCATGTCCTTAACAGCAACATGGATGGAGCTGGAAGGGATTATGCTCAGCGAAATAAGCCAGAAGGAAAAAGAAAAACACTGAATGGTCTCACTTATGGAGGAATGTAGGGGAACCAAATAAGGAATCAGGAGGTGAAAAGTATCATAAGTAAAAATCAGAATCATCAGGCAACTATAGACCACAGGCATTTGTGGGGGGCGGAGCACAAGGGACGACAGTGACGGTGCATGGGTGAGTGGGTGTGGGGACTTTATGGGGAGACCATACACTGTACGAAAATGATGACAGAATGACTATACTTAAAAAATAAAAATACTAAAAAAAATAATGTATTTGGGCTCTCCCTGCTGGTGCAGCGGGTTAAAGCGCAGCATTGCAAGCCAGCTTTAAGTGTGAGTTCGATCCCCACCCCGAGGTGACCACATGGCGCGGCAGACCTCTCCTGGCCCACCCGCTGCTCCCCTCAGCAGTGTACTTCATCAGTCTGCCTGTTCTGCTCCCCACTCTGTCTTGGTGAATCCTCTCACTGCCCCTGCACCTCTGGCCTGGACCCCAGTTCTGTGTGCATAAATAAACTAAAAAAAAGTGTTTACTCTGGCCTTTTAGAGCAGAATTTGTTGGGTCTCTGAGGCTAATACGCTGTAGCCTTTCCATGTCAGTACAGAAAATTCTCTTTCCTGGCAGCACTCTCCAGTGGTAGGGCTGCACCACAGTGCATTTAATCAGATCCTGAGTAGATATTTAGCATTTATATTTCCGCTACAAACAATGCTGCAGTGAAGGACCTGGAACTTACCGCCCTTCCCACGTGCCTGTACTTACGGGATGAATTCCTTCCTGGCAGCGGGACTGGGCGCTCCTTGGGAGCATAGTGTATTGACAGTTTGACAAGGATTGTCAAAATGCCCTCTGGGGAATCAACGTGTAAGTTCTTGCCCAGGTTAAGAAAAGATCTTTTGGCCCATCTTTGCTAACACAATACTCTCAACCCCTTTAATCTTTATCAAGTTGCCCTGTGAAAGGAAAGTCTCAGGTAGTTGCTGTGCCTGCCTTTTATTTTGCAGTTTGTCCTTTCATGCATTTAAGAGGCTTGTCTCTCTCCACTGCTGGCGGTTTACTCTCTCCGCCTCAGGATCTTCTGGGGGGGCTCGTCAGGCCCTGGGGGGGACCTTCCTCTCTCTGACTCTTGTGTTGCTTTCACAAACAAGCTTCTGGGGAACAAAAGTCTTAAGGACGAACATGGGGTGGCTGTCCACATTCCACACGTCCCTGTGAGCAAGCTGGGGGGACACCGGAGGGGTGGTCCCCTTCTGTGAATCTGGGAGGTTAACTTTCAGGGGGCTCAAGATGTCGTCTTCCTCAGTGCTCCTGTTGACACAGACAGACTCGTGCTCCTCCAGCTGCTTGATGGGGACCACGTGGCAGGCGTTGTATTTGCAGCTAGCCATCTTTTTAGCTTTCTTGGGGTTCTTTCTCCTGCAGGATGCCAGGTGGTACTGAAATCTGCTGAGTGGCACTCGGTGGTGAGGGTTGTAAGGGCAAATCTCTAAGGTTTCAGGCTCCATGAGAAGGTGGTGTTGAAGCAGAATTTTCTGCCAAAAAATAAAAAAACAGGCCGTCCTTGAGGGCGCAGCAGATTAAAGCACACCCCTGCAGGTGGGCCGCGGCGACTTCAGTGCATGTTCAATCCCCGTCCTGGGAGCTGACCCCCATGGCACGGCAGACCTCTCCTGACCCGCCCGCTGCTCCCCTCAGCAGTGGACTTCCTCCATCTGCCTGTCCTGCTCCCCACTCTGGTGAATCCTCTCACCCCCTGCACCTCTGGTCCGTACCCCAGTTCTGTGTGCATAAATAAACCTTAAAAAAAAAAAAGCAAATGCCTTTTACGGAAAAATGCTGTGGTCAGGAGGAAGCTGTCCTGGACTCTGGGTGAAGGTCTTGACCACCGGTGTCCCCTGTTCTCTGGGAGCAGGAGTGGCGAGGTAGAAAGGGACACGGTGTGCTCAGCTGCAGGTACACTGAGAGCGCCTTTACCAGTGGTGGGTGACAGGTGCCAGAGCAGGCCGCATGGAGCTCCAGCAGGGAGGTGAAGAGGGCCAGCCCTGGGCCTGCTGGCCCTGAGCGACGCACTGTGTGATGTCAAGAAGCAGTCACCGTGGGGGTCACAATAGGTGGTGAGCTCACTGGGACAGCCAACTGCTGCCCCTGTTGGGTGGGGCTGCCATTGAAAATAAGGTGGTGCCTCACGCAGTTGTCTTTAAATGTAGGCGCGCCCTGGAATTCTGATCGCGTCGGGCCTCCGTCTGCCAACTTACTCTGTCTGCTGCCTCGTGGTTCCGTGCCACGGCCCTCTCTGTCTGTTCTTCGGTTGTTCTTGAAAACTCTCAAGGAGCCAGTTTTCAAAATCTTTCCACTCTGCGCTCCATTTTCTGGGTGTGTCTCCCACCGTACATCCACTGCATCACGTGACCTTTTGTCATCAGTGGCTCCTCAGTCCAGAACATTCCCAGGTAGCTTGTCAAGTTTTACAGTGAATGGAAGTGTCATGCTCCTCCTGGATAAAATAGGGCTTTTTCTTAATTTAGGCCTTTTCAGATTTATTGCGTTTATTCTCCTGGAAGCTCACCTTTTAAAGATTCATGTTTTGAGTGTGTAGAAGAACTGGATACCGTTCAGAGGTGCCGGGAAGGAGGGTGAGAGGCTTCACCAGAGACAGAGCGGGGAGCAGAACAGGTGGATCTACTGAAACACACTGCTGAGGGGAGCAGCTGAGGTCAGGAGAGGTCTGCTGGGTCACCTTCAGGGCTGGGATCGAATTCAGGCCACAGCGCTGACTTAACCCTTGTGCTGCCAGGGAGGCCTGAAGTTTACCTTACAGAATTTTTACTTTATGCACTTCTCGGTTTTCCTGGTAATGTCTTTATTATCCCCTTATTCTTGAAAGCTGTTTTCACCAAGTACAGCTCTCCCCACTGAAGCACACGTCCTTTCTCTGGCTCCACGGCTGTGGCCGAGCATTCCGAGTTCTTAGCTCGCTTCTTTTGAAGGCAATCGATTTCTTTTCATATGTCACCTTCAAAAAAAGATTTATTTACTTATGCATACAGAACTGGAGTGCAGGCCAGAGGTGTAGGGGCGGTGAAAGGATTCCCCAGAGACAGAGTGGGGAGCAGAACAGGCTGACTGACGAAGTACACTGCTGAGGGGAGCAGCAGGTGGGTCAGGAGAGGCCCGCCACGCCATGTGGATCACCTCCGGGGCTGGGGATTGAACTCGCACTGAAGTGGCTGTGGCCGGCTTGTGTCCTTACCTGTTGCACCACCAGGGAGGGCCTCATATGACAATTTTAAAGACATTTTCTTGATCTTTGTTTTCCCCTGTCGATTTCTTTTTATTTATTTGTTAGATTTCTGTCATCTGTGCATTATGTCTTTCATTGGTTTTGGAAAACATTTGACCATTGGCTCTTCAAACATTATTTCTACCTTATTCTCTCACATCTGTGAAAGTGATAAATGTCACTCCCATGAAATTTCATTGTGCAGAGTGACCCCAACTATCCGGCCGGTGGCCCTGGCCCCACGGGAGTTAGTAGGTGCCTCGGCTTCTGCTCTCACCCCCAAGCCTTGCTGTGTTTGTTGGGGGTGCTGACAGTGCTTTCAGGGCTTACTGCCATCGCCTTTCTCCTGCTCCTGGCCCAGATGTGAGCCCTCCAGGCATTGCTAGGTCTGCGATGGTGATGATAATGAAAGCACTTCAGCCCTCATGGAAATCCACATAATGAAGACCAGGCATTAGCTGTCGCGGCTTCTTTGTGGCCAAGCACCCATTAGCGTGCAGGCGGACACTTAGTCCATTAGGGAGAGGGGGTGGCCAGATTGCTAATGCCCCTAATGGACGTCTTGCATGGCCCTCAAGCCTGCAGCCTCCTCCAGCTTCGGCTCCCAGCCTGGAGCCCGGGATCTGATGGGTCGCTCACCATGGCAACCCGAGAGGAGAGGGGGATGCAGGCACACCTGTGGGAGGGCTCTTCCCAGGCCCGTTTGCACCTCATGACCAACAATGCAGGTATCAGATCTGCCTGCGCCCAGGATCCTTGCGGGAGACCCTTGCGAGGCAGGTGTGACTCAGGCACGGAGAGAGGAGGTCACGGATGTGTAGAAGCCGTGTTTTTGAAAACGAAAGTGTGTGTGGTGGACAGCTAAGTCAGCAGAGAGGAGTAGGGCCCTTGGAGGGTTAGACTCAGAAGGCGTCTGAGTACTCGGGCTTGCAGGGTGGTTGGTGACGTCAGGCTCCCTTCCTGGGCCGGTGCATCCTTGCAGGGCCTCACACGGGAGGGGGCAGCCTCCCTCCCCGCATCCCTTGAGCACAGGCGGCCTCTGCCCTTGGCCGCCGCCGTGACCCCCTAGGGTGGGAGGCTCTCCCCAACATGCCACACTCACGCTGCGTGCCAGTGGCCCAGGTCAGGGAGGTCCACTCCTTGTATCTGGACTCCTGCTACTTTTTTTTTTTTTTTAAGATTTATTTATTTATGCATATAGAACTGGGGTACAGGCTAGAGGAGCGGGGATGAAAGGATTCACCAGAGACAGAGTGGGGAGCAGAACAGTCAGATTGACAAATTACACTGCTGAGGGGAGCAGCAGGGAGACAGGAGATATCTGCCGTGCTGTGTGGGTCAGCTCCCTGGCTGGGGCTCGAACTCGGGCTGTAGGGGCTGTGGATAGTTTCATAGTGCTGAGACTTTACCCCCTGCACCACTAGGGAGACCCACGGGGGGCCTGGGGCTCCCCAGAACAAGCCAGCTATAAGATCTAGATTTGGGTTAGCTTTCCATGGACCCTCTCTCTGGCTGGTTAGGCTCAAGCCTACTGTAATGTGCAAACTTGCTTATCTTTTTTTGGTGTTTTTTGGCGTTTCTCCCAGGGGAGCTTCAGAAGAGGGAGGGCCGCTCTTCCTGCAAGGAAAACCAAGTCAACCCCCAAGAAAGCCTCACTCCGAGGTGTCAGCACTGGGCCCTCGTGGAGATCACCTGGCTCTGAGGGACGTCGTAGGTGCTTTTGTGCTGACAACTGTCATGTCCGGTTTTTCTTCTCTTGTGCTTTTGTTTTTAACAAGCCACATTGCTTGGTCTAGTTTTCTTTCCTGGATTAGAGAACTGACATCTTGCTTTTATCATACTGGAAGGTATTTTAAGTACACAATTCTTGATTTCCCATCCCCATGGTTTTCTTTCCTCTCACCTATCTCTTATTTTTGGAGGGGAACAGGGAGTCTTAGATGGCTGTAATCATGGTTATTCATAATAACTATTCTAACCTGCTTTCGATCTTCTGTTTTAATATTTCTGATATTTGCAGTGAATTTCATGTCAACCTTGAATTTCGCATCCTGGTCATTAGTTTCTGTTTTCCTTGTCTCACCTGGCACCTGTTTCTCCTCGCTGCAGTCCAGCTCCGCTGGCCCATCACAGGTGCTGTGCTCTTGGCCACCACAGGACCTTGGCACATGCTGCTCTGTTCTCGTCTCTCTCTGCGTGGTGAAGCGCCTACTTGTCCTGGGGGCTCAGCCTCCCCCGCTCCCTGCTGGCTAAATCCCACTATTCTTGACCCAGCCTCCCCAGAGGCCTGCTTCATCGCACATCATGACAGCTGTCACTTGTCATCATTTCTGTCTGTCCATGAGTACATGCCTCCCCCACAGACTCCATTTTACAAACAAAAAGAATTTTTTTTTTTCCTGGCGTGTGTCTGGTTTCAATTCCCCACTTCATCCCTAGGACCCAGCATGGCACCTGGTGCCTAGAGAGGATGCACAGGAGGCATTTGTTAACTGAAGGAGGAAGTGGGTGATTCAGGGCTGGCCGCAGCTGGAAGCACCACTGAAGAGCATCGCTGCCATTCACAGTGGACCTTGAGCCTGAGATCCCAGGGAAGGGAGGACCCCTGAGAACTCAGCCTGGCCACGAGAGTCAAATTTCAGAGATCTGAGTGCCAAAGTGCTCTTGAAAGCCATGGCTTTTGATTGCAAGAGCCAGATGCTGGGGGGAGAGAACAGGGGTTTTGTTAGCTTGGTTTTTAGATCTCAGAGCTTGGCGTGGCACACACAAGCAGAGGGAACACAGAGCTCATTTTATACCGTGGGGCGGAGAGGCGGCAGGGGAGTGCAGATCGTTGTGGGGAAGGCCTGGGCGGGAGCGGTGTAGGGTTTAGACTTTCAGGGCTACCAAGGGTGAGTCTATCACCCCGTCCGCTGACATGATAGTAACCTCAGTTAAGGTTTTAGGAATTGCAGGTGAGATTGCCAACGAGATTTCATAGAGAAGCCCTCTGTGGCACTCTGGGAGGGTCCGGGCAATGCCCGTCCTGACCTGCAGCTTGGTTTATGCTTGACCAGAAGTTTGCTGTCTCAGTGGCCTTGTAGCGGAAGCTTTCTGGGTTGACAGCTTTCATGCACGGTGACAGGGCTCCACATAGACCTGTGACAGCCGGGATGGCCCAGGATGGCCCATCAGAACAGATGTAGCCAGTGTGGTCTCCAGCCACCTAGAACTGAGCCAGAGCAA